GGCTCTCAACAACAATGACAGCTGATCAACAATTTCAACAGTTGGCTAGATGAGGGTGGGTTAAATGCAGAGTAAATTTCCCTTCATGGATCAGTAAAAGCAATCCGCCAATACACGGGTCACTGCACATCCACGTCACTCTTAAATGACGACGCACCCACAGCAGCAAAACTACAAATGCTGGACACCCACACACTGCACCACAGTATTATCAACGCACCACGTACACCTCCATAACACTGTGCATGATACAATACTCATCAAACAATAAAGCACTCACCTGTCACTTGTAAATAAATGTGCGGCTGTCATTACATGTCCCTTTACTCGTATTAAAAAGTAAACATGGCCAAATAACTTGTGCTCGGTAAATGACACATGATTTCATGATTAATTCCTGAAATGTATATTAAAGAAAAATTTGGTTCATCTGATCCTCATAGCTGCCAACAGTAGGGTACCGTGGGGTTTCAGTCAGGGCCTTCAGTGAGCAACTGTAAACTACATACCCTTACACATCTATCTTACACTTCTCTGTTACAGCTAACGCAGCCATATGCATATAATTCACATATTATGCCGCACACAGGCTCTCAACAACAATGACAGCTGATCAACAATTTCAACAGTTGGCTAGATGAGGGTGGGTTAAATGCAGAGTAAATTTCCCTTCATGGATCAGTAAAAGCAATCCGCCAATACACGGGTCACTGCACATCCACGTCACTCTTAAATGACGACGCACCCACAGCAGCAAAACTACAAATGCTGGACACCCACACACTACACCACAGTATTATCAACGCACCACGTACACCTCCATAACACTGTGCATGTCCCTTTACTCGTATTAAAAAGTAAACATGGCCAGATAACTTGTGCTAGCTGTTAGCCACTCATAGTTGCAATCTTTGAAACGGCGCACAAAACCTGTGTTAGCGAATTCAGTTTGGGTGTAGGTCTTCCTTTCTCAGTTATTCCTCTTTTGTCTGCAAAAGAGCGCCTTGAATTTTTAGTAGATCGGCAACAAGATCTGGTGTAGGCGCCGGCGACTGCCATTTTCTTTTCGCTGAATTTCACTTTCATACCTTGGAAATTCCCAACTAAACGCTGGGGTTAGCACTGGGCACGTGCTGTCATTGAACGTCAAAATTTGATTGGCTGATGATTCTGTCACTAATGCTCGCTACAAATCAGATGCGACGTCTTTGAACAAAAGGGTAGCACTATCTGTAGTGCTGGCCGCAGGCTTTTTTATGTAGAATATTCCAGTTCAACCTCAACGAAACTAATCATAGGCCATTTTGTGGATATTACACAAATGAAAATGATACCTAAATAATAATAATAATAATAAAAATAATTTTATTTTTATAGAGCAGTGGGCAGCCATTTATGCTGCGGCGCCCGGGGAGCAGTTGGGGTTCGGGGCCTTGCTCAAGGGCACCTCAGTCGTGGTATTGAAGGTGGGAGAGAGCACTGTACATTCACTCCCCCCACCTACAATCCCTGCTGGTACGAGACTCAAACCCACAACCTTTTGGTTACGAGTCCAACTCTCTAACCATTAGGCCACGACTTGGATGGGATAAATGCAGAGCACTAATTCTGAGAATGGGTCACCGTACTTGGCCACATGTCACTTCCCCATTTTAAATGGTGAAACATTTGTCTGATTATCTTCACAGTTTAATTATGGACAGATCGAGTAAACAACCACAATCAACACTCAAACTCAGCAAGAAAAATAATAAGGTGATAAAAGCTGAAAACTACAGGCTCTCAACAACAATGACAGCTGATCAACAATTTCAACAGTTGGCTAGATGAGGGTGGGTTAAATGCAGAGTAAATTTCCCTTCATGGATCAGTAAAAGCAATCCGCCAATACACGGGTCACTGCACATCCACGTCACTCTTAAATGACGACGCACCCACAGCAGCAAAACTACAAATGCTGGACACCCACACACTACACCACAGTATTATCAACGCACCACGTACACCTCCATAACACTGTGCATGTCCCTTTACTCGTATTAAAAAGTAAACATGGCCAGATAACTTGTGCTAGCTGTTAGCCACTCATAGTTGCAATCTTTGAAACGGCGCACAAAACCTGTGTTAGCGAATTCAGTTTGGGTGTAGGTCTTCCTTTCTCAGTTATTCCTCTTTTGTCTGCAAAAGAGCGCCTTGAATTTTTAGTAGATCGGCAACAAGATCTGGTGTAGGCGCCGGCGACTGCCATTTTCTTTTCGCTGAATTTCACTTTCATACCTTGGAAATTCCCAACTAAACGCTGGGGTTAGCACTGGGCACGTGCTGTCATTGAACGTCAAAATTTGATTGGCTGATGATTCTGTCACTAATGCTCGCTACAAATCAGATGCGACGTCTTTGAACAAAAGGGTAGCACTATCTGTAGTGCTGGCCGCAGGCTTTTTTATGTAGAATATTCCAGTTCAACCTCAACGAAACTAATCATAGGCCATTTTGTGGATATTACACAAATGAAAATGATACCTAAATAATAATAATAATAATAAAAATAATTTTATTTTTATAGGGCGAGCAGAGAAAGCCCTACTGACCCTGACGGCCCACCACTGACTGCCAGTATATGCTCTCAGAAATGATGCCACACATTCATTCTTACGTTCATGATCTCACCTCATGATACTTCAGATTGACACTCTACAGCTCTATCTGGACCGTGAGAGACTGTAAACGGTGAAACATTCGTCTGATTATCTTCACAGTTTAAGTATGGACAGATCGAGTAAACAACCACAATCAACACTAAAGCTCAGCAAGAAAAATAATAAGGATGATAAAGCTGAAAATGTGTTGCTAGGTGCTATGTGTTAGTCAATTTTATGTACAGTAGACATTACTATCCGTCACAGTGTTGCCAAGTCTGTGGTTTTCCTGTGGTATTGGGCTACTTTATCACTGTTGCTGGTTTTTTCATGTCCGTGGGTTGAAGTGACCCCAATAATGTGTATTCTAGCCCCCAGAACACAGATAGTTTGGGCTAATTTTGAGTAGCAATTGGGCGTGTTTTGTTGTGAAAATCTGGCAACCTGGTGTGTGTGTGTGTGTCTGAGTGTGTGTCTGTGTCTCTGTGTCTGTGTGTCTCTGTGTCTGTGTCTGTGTGTGTGTGTGTGTGTGTGTGTGTGTGTGTGTGTGTGTGTGTGTGTGTGATGTAAAAGAGGAAAGCAGGCATTTGGACCAAAGCACTGATGCAAGGGAGGAGGAGACTCAAAATGTTTCTAAACTTTTGACGCATTTTTGCCCCGTTTGTTTTGTTTTACTACTTACACAATTATTTAAAGTATAAAACCTTGTTATTTACAATACACAACATGGTTTTTAATCATACCCCTCTGTATTTCTGTCTATGACGGGAGACAGTGAGTGTTTCGGTCAGCTGGTGGTGTAGTGGTCCCTGGAGAAGTCCATACACTCTGAATTTATGCCCCCAGTTTTTTTTAAAGCAGTCCAGTAAAGGATGAACGCCATGTGTTATTAACAGTGACATGTAAGACTAGTCTTGCATATTTAGTTCACCCCAAGATCAGTAGTATTTGCAAATTGTCACTTAACTTCGACTGCCTGACTTCACAGAGTAAGGATCATTATGAAATTAATATCAGCCACAGAAGAGGTGCAGATTTTGCAATCAATACACAGACTCAATTATGTGACGACTATTGGAAGGCAATAATGGTTTAGTATATTTCATCTGTACACTTTATATGTACACATTGCAAACATTTTTACATATGTACACATAATTGTAACTAAATATGAACTTTTTTTAATGAAATACATTTTACTGTAATAAATCTATACTGCTCCAGGAGAGACTAAACCTGCTTAAAATATCAGAAAAAAAAAGAAATAAAAAATATAGTACTTAACCACAAACCAAAGATATGCATAACACAAACAATGCATCACTATCCACAGACTTTATATATTGACTATGCCGGTTTGTTTAAATGTGACAAAATTGTTTAGAAACCTTCCTTAAATACAGAAATCCTGGATCAGGGATATTAGGCTACTTAAACACATTCCAGAGCTCTGACTGTACAAACTCATGAATGTAATGCAGATTAACATCTAGAGAAACACACAATTTAATATTTCATACAGTGAAGTGTGGCTCTCTACTGGAGATCACGAGTATAACAGCAGATCAACAGCTGAGAGAAGATCACAGGAACATCAGCATTATATCAGATATTCAGTCATTTAAATCAAGTCTATTAATGCAGTGAATTTATGGAGTAACTTTACATTTTGCTCAGCCTCAAGTTTTTTTCAGTTTAGGACATTACTAAACTGTGTTTTTAGATTAATTAGTAGCACTAATAAAGAAAAGAATTCAAGAGGTTTTCGCTCTCCCTTTAATTTATACTGATTACATTTTTGAAATGACAATTATTTTAAAAACTATTACAGTAATGAGAATATGGAGATACATTGAAATGATCATGAAAATAACATGACAGTTAAAATATAGAATAATAGTAGTGAAAATGTACTTAATTTTCATGTTAAATATAATTTCTTATTTTTTCTTTTGAATCTGGGGTGATCATTGACTTTCTATTGCGGGAAGCTGATTTCTTGTCATTTCTGACTCGTATCAAAAAACAGAACAATTTCTAAAAGCTGCTGTGTGACCAGGTGTACAGCTAAAAAACCCAGAACTAGGTTTTTATAAGCTGTCAACCCCCCCAAAATGAGCATTTAGGACACAAAAGTAGAGCAGATCGTCTCATATTACTCTGAGAACTGCGCCCACTGGAGAGAAACATAATCGTGACAAGACCACTCATTATTTTTAACCATGTCAGAGGATTATTTCACCACCTGATGTGAACCTGAGAGCAGGAGATATATTAAAATGTGTGTTCCTGTGATCTTCTCTCAGCAGTTGATGTGCTGTAATACTGATGAATCTGCAGTAGCGAGGAAAAATATTCTGTATATATATTTTTTTTATTAGATCAGATAACATTTTAAGCTGTCATAATGTTATCACCATAATGTGATTCTCTTCATTTAGTCCTACTGTAAATCTGGAGAAACAGAGAGATGTTGTGCTGCTTCTGTCACAGGGCTTTGTGAATGTTGATGCTTGGCCTAAATAACAATATTTTATCTGGAGCGTTTATACTGGAATGCTGTGGAACTTAGGAGATGTTACGGAGCTATTTAATGTACATTTATGGATGCACTGAAAAAAAATCTATCTAGGTTGCTTTTATGCTGGCTTTTGCGGGCGGGAGCGGGACAGAAAAATCCATCCAGCGCAGGTCTCTGATGGTGAGAAAGCTCAGCCGATGAGGGCAGAGGGGCAGTGGCTCTAGCCCTGAAAGAGTCCAGGAGCTGAACACACTGTAGTCTGGAGTGATGGAGCCTGCCATCATGATGATGATGATGATGATGATGTTCAGGTCTTCAGCCGCTGCTATCCGGAGGACACTGATGTTGATGATGCTGAAGAGCTTTTGACATCAGATTGAAACTTTACAGGCCCGTCTGGATCATCTGAGACTAGAAATCACAAACATATATCAGGTAAGATTAGACTCATTGTTTTAGATGTTTATATTCTCAATCTATAAAAAATATTCTGTCATTTACACACATCTGTAAACTGAATGCAGAAAGTGAATTTGTCTGAATGTGAAACTTTAAGACGGGAGTGTGAAGACTAGAATTTTCTATAATGAACAAACACTTACAGTTTGGTTTTAGCTGTCCCATACTGTCTCGTCTAACTAGTCTCTGTCTGCTTTTCTCTTGTGTTTCACTGGTTTGTGTTTCATTTCTGGCCTCCATTTTTCTCTCTGTGCTGTTGGTTTGTATAGTTTTCTCCATGCTATTTCATTTCTGCAGCCCGTCTGTATCTGTTAAATCACACAGATGACATGAAGAGTTAATGCAAGTTCAGTTTATATCCTCCATGTGACTAAACCAGTAACAGCTAACAGTCAACATGTAACCATTCACTCAAGATGCGATGATACTGATCTCATAACACAATTTTCAGAATTTTATAATTTTTTTTACAATATTAGAGTTATGTCCAATTATAAATGAAAAAGTGTCCTTTTATTATTTCTCAGACAATATGCTACACATTTCTTTGTGAAATTGAAATATGTCAAATCACAAAACTAAACTGAAATTTTAAAACAGCTCCCAAATCAAAATAAAATTAATAAAAGGCTTTGCCTGCTCTTTCCAGAGGGCGACCGCTGTATTTTAAATCACCATCCAAACAAAGTTGCTACACATATGCTGCACGAGTAGGCTTTGATTTATAATAGATTGTATAATTTCAAAATTTGAAGCAATAAGAGTATGGTCTGACTTTAGCTTTGTGAATCATAATAAAACATCTGAATGAAACAAAAACAGCAATCCGTATGAATGAGACGAAAACTGGCTATATGCACGATTACTTCCTGGTTTTAAGCCATTTCAAAATCAACTGTGCTTTAAGGAGAGCACAATTTGCTCATTTCTCCACATAATCTATTCACAATTTAAAGAAAAGTTGTGTTAGTCTAAGAGGACCAAATGTCCATGTGTACGGTTTCAGGAATGACAAACGTTAGTGTAACAAATTGCATGAGAGAATCCGCTAAATTGTGCCGCAAGTGATTGCTATGCTTGACAGTGATAAATATTGTATCAATGGACAGAACGAACTATCTGACAAGTCGATGTCAAAACACAGCTGTGCATTAAGTGATGCAGTGTAAATTCAGAGTAACAAAACTACAGCAGCAATAAGTCTGCGTTGGCTGAATATATTTAGCAGTTTCTACAGTTAAAGAAAGAAATCGTTTTTAAATTAAATCTAAAAATATTTAATGCATTATCTAATTATTATACCATTATTAATTAACATCTCATTTGCAATTAACTAGTTAAGTATTTAAATAATTAACCTTTCTAGGCTGTTGGTGTCTGAGCTTATTCATTTATTTTTTCACCTCCAGGTATTTTAATAATACACGGTAAAAAAAAAATAATAAGGGTCTTGTAATTTTCATTAAATAAATTGTGATTCAGTGTTGTATAGAAAATATGGAGAACTTTTTACTAATAAAACCAAGAGATGTATTTTCCTCATTTTTTTATAGGAAACTTTAGCAGTTTTGAGGCTTGAATTGAGAAACTGATTAAACGGAAACAAATCAGGAAAGAAGGCTACCTAATTATTTTAAGAGAATTGGCTCAATTTTGTAGTTTTATTTTAGAGGTGATTGTTAGTTCCCAGCATGCTTTGCATATGGCTAGAAGTTTGCATTGCACAGTGCAATCGTTACCATTGTGCAGAAGAGTAGAGCTTATGGTTCTGGATACTCCTCTAAGACAGCGTTCTTCAGTCCCAGTCCTCGCGCACCCCTGCTCTGCACATTTAGTGTGTTTCTCTTATTGCTTCAGACGTTTGTTATATCTGACTGTAAGTGCCCTGCGAAGTGGACATCACCAGATATTCCTCCATGATTCCAGTTTGAAGGGAGCGCACATGTTCCAGACAAAGGGCATTTAAGTGTGCGAGACGTGAATTTAAATTGTATTTATTTACAGAGGTGTATTATGTCCCACTTCACGCTTCTCTAGTAAGTTTCGTCTGTGTGTGAAGACACTGCAGGCAGAGCAAATCTGTAACATTGTGCAGAAGAGTAGAGCTTATGGTTCTGGATACTCCTCTAAGACAGCGTTCTTCAGTCCCAGTCCTCGCGCACCCCTGCTCTGCACATTTAGTGTGTTTCTCTTATTGCTTCAGACGTTTATTATATCTGACTGTAAGTGCCCTGCGAAGTGGACATCACCAGATATTCCTCCATGATTCCAGTTTGAAGGGAGCGTATATGTTCCAGACAAAGGGCATTTAAGTGTGCGAGACGTGAATTTAAATTGTATTTATTTACAGAGGTGTATTATGTCCCACTTCACGCTTCTCTAGTAAGTTTCGTCTGTGTGTGAAGACACTGCAGGCAGAGCAAATCTGTAAATGAATATTCCGAAGTGAAGTAAACTTCAACGGATCTCCCCTGCTCAGGGAATAGGGAGCAATGCACACTGTGTAGGGAGCATGTCAATCGGAGCACAGTTCATGCACGGAGCTCACTTCTAACGAGCTGATCTGAATCAGGTGTGTTAACAAAGAGAGACGTGCAAAACATGCAGAGCGGGGGTAACGTTACGCGAGGACTGGGGCTGAGAACAGGTATTATGACTTGCTCAATGAGCAGCAGCTGTGCTAGTGCTAGTGCTAGTGTAGTATTTTACAGTATTTCTCAAGTATTTTCCTACTTGAGCTGTCTGGCTGTATACTTGGGTGACCATAAGTGCCATTTTCCCAGGACGCGTCCTGGCCAGGATTTCTATATTGCCTAAAATATCTAGGTTTTGGCTTTGTTTGCGTGTGCAGACCGATTGGTGTTTGACATCAAAATACCATACAGACGGTTCCTTATGCTTTCAAAATGCTCTCGAGGTATTTTGATGTCAAACACTGATCGGTCTGCACACGCAAACAAAGCTAAAACCTAGATATTTTAGGCAATATAGAAATCCTGGCCAGATCCTGGGAAAATGGCACTTATGGTCACCCTATATACAGTCTTTTAAATGTACAAAATAACCCAAAGCCAAATACAAACAGGCCTCACTCAAAATCACAGACTTTTGAGAATCGTCTTAAAATAAATGAGCACATTTCACATATTATATTAAATTCATTGTGTCATAGATTAATTAATTTAGGAGATTTTACATTATTTATTCAGGTAGATTCCATTAAAAATACAAGCCTTAAAAACTACTTAAAAATATTATGTGTAATATTGTTACCATCATTTTTTTTACAGTGTAGCATTTGTTATAATAAGGCTAGCCAATCATTACCAGGCAATTTTTGTTTTATTATTATTATTTATTTATATAGCATTTATTATGAAAAAAACAGCCTGCACATTTAGAAACAATATAGCATGCCACAGTTGTAATATAAATCTATAGGAAAAATGTATTCGTTAACAGATTATCTATTATAAATTCTACAACAAGTTGGACCAGATTTACCAAAATAAATGAGCCAATAAAACGTGATGAATTCTAGAAGCCTAAAGGAGGTCATGAAAAAGATTGTAATTAATGCTGATGCAAGATGTGCCTTTTTTTTTTAGATAATTTCTCCATAGCATTTTAAAGAGGCAATTTCTCAATAGAATTCAAATAGACCGCACATTTTATCATCATGTCTCGCGCAAATCACTTTTGGAGCGTGCCGCTGGTGCACAGTTACAGATTCTAGAAGCCTAAAGGAGGTCATGAAAAAGATTGTAATTAATGCTGATGCAAGATGTGCCTTTTTTTTATAGATAATTTCTCCATAGCATTTTAAAGAGGCAATTTCTCAATAGAATTCAAACAGACCGCACATTTTATCATCATGTCTCGCGCAAATTACTTTTGGAGCGTGCCGCTGGTGCACAGTTAAAGAAGTGCTCTTCAGTCGTATTGCGCTGACAGCTGCTCTGTTCATTCATGTGTGAAGATAGAGGGCACGATTTAAATCAATTAAAACAATCTGATTCTAGGTTTCCATTAACCATGGCAGTATATATATTGGGGGGTTGTTCAGTAGCCTAATGAACTATTTTTGGTTAAACTACGTCCTGTAAAAACTCTTAACAAACATTAAAGTGATGTGTTGTAATCACCTTGTGTTGAGCTGAAGAGAAGAAACATCCATCACAACTCTGAGATGTCTGCTGATGTTGTGCTGTCTGAGCTTCAGAAGAGGATTGTTTATCACCTCATGAGAAGATGCACATTATGACAGGAAAGGAGCTTCGATACTGGGGCTGAGAACAGGTATTATGACTTGCTCAATGAGCAGTAGCTGTGCTAGTGCTAGTGCTAGTGTAGTATTTTACAGTATTTCTCAAGTATTTTCCTACTTGAGCTGTCTGGCTGTATACTTGGGTGACCATAAGTGCCATTTTCCCAGGACGCGTCCTGGCCAGGATTTCTATATTGCCTAAAATATCTAGGTTTTAGCTTTGTTTGCGTGTGCAGACCGATCAGTGTTTGACATCAAAATACCTCGAGAGCATTTTGAAAGCATAAGGAACCGTCTGTATGGTATTTTGATGTCAAACACCAATCGGTCTGCACACGCAAACAAAGCTAAAACCTAGATATTTTAGGCAATATAGAAATCCTGGCCAGATCCTGGGAAAATGGCACTTATGGTCACCCTATATACAGTCTTTTAAATGTACAAAATAACCCAAAGCCAAATACAAACAGGCCTCACTCAAAATCACAGACTTTTGAGAATCGTCTTAAAATAAATGAGCACATTTCACATATTATATTAAATTCATTGTGTCATAGATTAATTAATTTAGGAGATTTTACATTATTTATTCAGGTAGATTCCATTAAAAATACAAGCCTTAAAAACTACTTAAAAATATTATGTGTAATATTGTTACCATCATTTTTTTTACAGTGTAGCATTTGTTATAATAAGGCTAGCCAATCATTACCAGGCAATTTTGTTTTATTATTATTATTTACTTATATAGCATTTATTATGAAAAAAACAGCCTGCACATTTAGAAACAATATAGCATGCCACAGTTGTAATATAAATCTATAGGAAAATGTATTCGTTAACAGATTATCTATTATAAATTCTACAACAAGTTGGACCAGATTTACCAAAATAAATGAGCCAATAAAACGTGATGAATTCTAGAAGCCTAAAGGAGGTCATGAAAAAGATTGTAATTAATGCTGATGCAACCTTTTTTTCTTTTTTTTTTAGATAATTTCTCCATAGCATTTTAAAGAGGCAATTTCTCAATAGAATTCAAATAGACCGATCATCATGTCATCATGTCTCGCGCAAATCACTTTTGGAGCGTGCCGCTGGTGCACAGTTAAAGAAGTGCTCTTCAGTCGTATTGCGCTGACAGCTGCTCTGTTCATTCATGTGTGAAGATAGAGGGCACGATTTAAATCAATTAAAACAATCTGATTCTAGGTTTCCATTAACCATGGCAGTATATATATTGGGGGGTTGTTCAGTAGCCTAATGAACTATTTTTGGTTAAACTACGTCCTGTAAAAACTCTTAACAAACATTAAAGTGATGTGTTGTAATCACCTTGTGTTGAGCTGAAGAGAAGAAACATCCATCACAACTCTGAGATGTCTGCTGATGTTGTGCTGTCTGAGCTTCAGAAGAGGATTGTTTATCACCTCATGAGAAGATGCACATTATGACAGGAAAGGAGCTTCGATTTCGAGATCAGCAAGACTCATGTTCTCACTCCTCTGCTAGTCTACGAACAGAAAGGGCTTCAAAGGCTTTTTTCTTTGATTGGCTGCTTGTGTTGTTTGAGATAAGAACTTCCTCGACTTGACAAGGAAGTGGAACACATGCACTATACTCGAAAAACTTATATCCACAAATCCAGTGACTGATGGTTGATATAATGTTGATATTGCAATTTAACTGAGAAATCATGTACAATGTACTTAAATTAAATGAACACTATCATTATCATCATGTTGCTGAATGGCTTGTGGAAGGGATGAAACCACATTTAGTCAGATGGACACAGTTATATTCAAAAATGTTCATATACAATTTTCAGTTTGCAAACAAGTGTCTTTTGTGGTTTGTGTCTTATTTCTGGTAAAAAAAAAATGTCTCAGCTCGGTTGGTTTTGACTCACGTCTGGTTTCAGAAGGCAGTTTTCAGCATGTTTTATCCCTTTTACTCTGTACTCACACAGAAGTCCTGATCAAGCAGCTGTTTCAAGCAGCAGATTTGTAATTAGAATGTGAATAAATGTTCCTAATAAATCTAAATAAAGCTGGTAAAGCATGTGGCATTGATTGCCATATTATCCACTGTTTGTATCTTGATTGATATTTATCTATTCACTCTTATTTCTCTGCAGCTGCTTCATCTGACAAGATTCAGTGTTTTACTGTTCTGTCTTCATGCCTCGCGCACCCCTGCTCTGCACATTTAGTGTGTTTCTCTTATTGCTTCAGACGTTTATTATATCTGACTGTAAGTGCCCTGCGAAGTGGACATCACCAGATATTCCTCCATGATTCCAGTTTGAAGGGAGCGTATATGTTCCAGACAAAGGGCATTTAAGTGTGCGAGACGTGAATTTAAATTGTATTTATTTACAGAGGTGTATTATGTCCCACTTCACGCTTCTCTAGTAAGTTTCGTCTGTGTGTGAAGACACTGCAGGCAGAGCAAATCTGTAAATGAATGTTCCGAAGTGAAGTAAACTTCAACGGATCTCCCCTGCTCAGGGAGTAGGGAGCAATGCACACTGTGTAGGGAGCATGTCAGTCGGCACAGTTCATGCACGGAGCTCACTTCTAACGAGCTGATCTGAATCAGGTGTGTTAACAAAGAGAGACGTGCAAAACATGCAGAGCGGGGGTAACGTTACGCGAGGACTGGGGCTGAGAACAGGTATTATGACTTGCTCAATGAGCAGTAGCTGTGCTAGTGCTAGTGCTAGTGTAGTATTTTACAGTATTTCTCAAGTATTTTCCTACTTGAGCTGTCTGGCTGTATACTTGGGTGACCATAAGTGCCATTTTCCCAGGACGCGTCCTGGCCAGGATTTCTATATTGCCTAAAATATCTAGGTTTTAGCTTTGTTTGCGTGTGCAGACCGATCAGTGTTTGACATCAAAATACCTCGAGAGCATTTTGAAAGCATAAGGAACCGTCTGTATGGTATTTTGATGTCAAACACCAATCGGTCTGCACACGCAAACAAAGCTAAAACCTAGATATTTTAGGCAATATAGAAATCCTGGCCAGATCCTGGGAAAATGGCACTTATGGTCACCCTATATACAGTCTTTTAAATGTACAAAATAACCCAAAGCCAAATACAAACAGGCCTCACTCAAAATCACAGACTTTTGAGAATCGTCTTAAAATAAATGAGCACATTTCACATATTATATTAAATTCATTGTGTCATAGATTAATTAATTTAGGAGATTTTACATTATTTATTCAGGTAGATTCCATTAAAAATACAAGCCTTAAAAACTACTTAAAAATATTATGTGTAATATTGTTACCATCATTTTTTTTACAGTGTAGCATTTGTTATAATAAGGCTAGCCAATCATTACCAGGCAATTTTTGTTTTATTATTATTATTTATTTATATAGCATTTATTATGAAAAAAACAGCCTGCACATTTAGAAACAATATAGCATGCCACAGTTGTAATATAAATCTATAGGAAAATGTATTCGTTAACAGATTATCTATTATAAATTCTACAACAAGTTGGACCAGATTTACCAAAATAAATGAGCCAATAAAACGTGATGAATTCTAGAAGCCTAAAGGAGGTCATGAAAAAGATTGTAATTAATGCTGATGCAAGATGTGCCTTTTTTATTTTTAGATAATTTCTCCATAGCATTTTAAAGAGGCAATTTCTCAATAGAATTCAAATAGACCGCACATTTTATCATCATGTCTCGCGCAAATCACTTTTGGAGCGTGCCGCTGGTGCACAGTTAAAGAAGTGCTCTTCAGTCGTATTGCGCTGACAGCTGCTCTGTTCATTCATGTGTGAAGATAGAGGGCACGATTTAAATCAATTAAAACAATCTGATTCTAGGTTTCCATTAACCATGGCAGTATATATATTGGGGGGTTGTTCAGTAGCCTAATGAACTATTTTTGGTTAAACTACGTCCTGTAAAAACTCTTAACAAACATTAAAGTGATGTGTTGTAATCACCTTGTGTTGAGCTGAAGAGAAGAAACATCCATCACAACTCTGAGATGTCTGCTGATGTTGTGCTGTCTGAGCTTCAGAAGAGGATTGTTTATCACCTCATGAGAAGATGCACATTATGACAGAAAAGGAGCTTCGATTTCGAGATCAGCAAGACTCATGTTCTCACTCCTCTGATAGTCTACGAACAGAAAGGGCTTCAAAGGCTTTTTTCTTTGATTGGCTGCTTGTGTTGTTTGAGATAAGAACTTCCTCGACTTGACAAGGAAGTGGAACACATGCACTATACTCGAAAAACTTATATCCACAAATCCAGTGACTGATGGTTGATATAATGTTGATATTGCAATTTAACTGAGAAATCATGTACAATGTACTTAAATTAAATGAACACTATCATTATCATCATGTTGCTGAATGGCTTGTGGAAGGGATGAAACCACATTTAGTCAGATGGACACAGTTATATTCAAAAATGTTCATATACAATTTTCAGTTTGCAAACAAGTGTCTTTTGTGGTTTGTGTCTTATTTCTGGTAAAAAAAAAATGTCTCAGCTCGGTTGGTTTTGACTCACCTCTGGTTTCAGAAGGCAGTTTTCAGCATGTTTTATCCCTTTTACTCTGTACTCACACAGAAGTCCTGATCAAGCAGCTGTTTCAAGCAGCAGATTTGTAATTAGAATGTGAATAAATGTTCCTAATAAATCTAAATAAAGCTGGTAAAGCATGTGGCATTGATTGCCATATTATCCACTGTTTGTATCTTGATTGATATTTATCTATTCACTCTTATTTCTCTGCAGCTGCTTCATCTGACAAGATTCAGTGTTTTACTGTTCTGTCTTCATGCGTTTCTTCCTCATCTAACCCTTTAAGACAACAAGGAATATAGAAACAAACAATGATTAGAATATTACAAACATTCAGCACAGAATTGACCGCTATAAAACATTTCTGATAAAATAACACATAATCCAGATATCCAACTGAAAATGTTTGGCTATGAA